GGCAGAGTTATAGTGATATTTTGGTCTAACCTTGCAAATGTCTTCATGGAACGTAGACAGACCATTAAATCGAGAGCATTGCCTTTGGACTCAACTCGTTCTTCACCACGGCTGACAGAAGCAACACTCTCATTACTGAGGATGAGGCCTTGATTCGTCAGTTTATCATTTAGTCCATCTTACAATGCACAGATGCGTGAACACCTCCATCTGAGGCAAAAAACCCTCCCCGACTCGGAGGGGGAATTCCACCCATTTCCAGTTGCGAACCATGGCCTCCAACTACAGGAGCTGACTCTCATCCCTGCCGTTTCACTCTCTCCTGCGAACCGCACCAGTGCATGCTGAAGGTCATGGTCCACAGATGGCACACATGGCCACCAAAACCGCATCTTCCACACAAAGCAGAGACCCTGAGGTTCCCAAACCAGACACTCCTCTTTGAGATCCTGTTCATGAACAACACAAACATGATCAAGGACAATGAACAGCAATGGTGGAGTCCAACCTGCACTGAGAACAAGCTTAACTTTGTGCCAAGAATGCGGACAGAGCTCCTGCTTTGATTATACAGGGAACAGATAGTCCTTAACAGCAACCCAGCACTTCATACTCCTGCAGCCCCCCCACCCCCCACCCCCCGCCCCACAGAATGCCTCAGGGAACACGTTCATAAGCTTTTTCCAGATCCACAAAACACATGTACATTGGAGAGTCAAACTCCCATGACCCCCTTAGCAACTTCACAAAGGTGAAGATTTGGTCCACTGTTCCACGACCAGGGCGAAAGTCACACAACTCATGAATCTGAGGTTCTACAATTGATCGGCGCCTCTCTTCCTTCAACCTGCAGTAAACTTTCCCAGGGAGGCTTTGAAGTGTGATCCCACAAAATGTGAATGCCTTTAAGTGCAATTGCTAGCAATATTGTGAAATGTTATGATATGTATAAGCACTTATAATGTGTGTTGAGGATGATTATCTGCAATTACCACATCAAACCGTAGTGCAATATTTGTAAATTGAATGGAGATTTGGCTACTTTTATGTTGGGTTAAGTTTAATTAGTCATGGCAACCATCTTCCAAGAGTTAATGAGCTGTAGATCCCATTTTTTAATAAAAGACAGTGTTTTATTCAACAGGTAAAGCTGAAGTTTGCAGATATAGGGCTGTATTTTGATCTGGTAGTGGCCAAGAGTCATCCTCAACTCATACTTTGAGCACTAACTCACTTCCAACATTTTTCAGTCAGGTCATCTGGACAGTTTCTTTTTTTTTTTTATGCTGAAACATTTCGCCTTTGGTCCGGAAGGCTTCATCAGTAAAGGAAGCACACAACAAAACTGATTATTCCCCCAACAGCTTACTCCAAAGTGGAACAAACCAGTTCTGCTTGTGATAAGATGGTCTCTTTGGTACGCCCCCTCCAACATTGCCGGCCCTCTTCCTTGTTGACAGTCGACAGACTTGACAGAGGGCTGGCAATGAAGGAGGAGGTGTACCAAAGAGACCATCTTATCACAAGCAGAACTGGTTTGTTCCACT